GCCGGTGCCCACCTGTGGCGGGCAGAGAGCGGGTGAGGCTGCTCACAGGGAACTGCCGACAAGCAGCGAGCTGTCCCCTCTGCACCCTGCCACTGAGGGGACATCCCCAGCCAGTACCACAGACCCCTCTTCTCCTCCCAGTGCTGAGCTCCAGCCCCTGCTAATGGGGATACTGGCTCCACTGGGCATCCTGCGTGCATGTGCCAGGGCCTTACCTGCATGCCTGGAGCTTCAGTTCCTCCTCGGTGGGGCTGAAGACGCGCTTCACCTGGTGCTTGGCGATGGCCTCCCACTTCCCCGCGTTTTTCTTGAGGATGTGGTCCCAGATGACGGGAACCTGGCGGGAGAGGCAGAGCGGGAGGAAGGGGTGCTTGCAGCCAGACTGAAGGTGCTGCAGTAAGGGGGTATTTGGCAGGGGGGGGCGTGCAGCTGGCCCTGGGCATGAGGAGTGCGAGGGGAGGCAGCACGTGTAGAGGCAAAGGCGCAGGGAGCGGGGGGGTGCTTTTGGGGTTGGCAGGGGGGGGCGTGCAGCTGGCCCTGGGCATGAGGAGTGCGAGGGGAGGCAGCACGTGTAGAGGCAAAGGCGCAGGGAGCGAGGGTGTGCTTTTGGGTACACGGAGGGGACTGATCTGCTTGCCAACGAGTGTTCAGGTGAAACAAGGCAAAACCTTGGGGGTCCGGTTGGAAATGAGAGTTCAGCCCCGAGGCCCGGGCTTCCATACAGAAAGCCCTGAGATCTCAGCACCCTGTGTGCCGGCAGCAGCATGAACCCCGTGCTCCAGAGCCGTTTGCCTGAGCAGATTTTTCCACTCGTCACTTCCCCGAAGATGAACACCCAGGGAAGGGCTGGCCGGCGTGAAAGGGAAAGCGCTAGCCAAGAGCGGCGCGTGGAGTTCAGGCTCTGGAGAGGACGATGCTGCTTCAAACAGCGCTGCCTTCTCCAGCAGAGTAAAAATAGCCAGGCCTGGAAGGGGAGAAAGCTCTGGGAGCAGCCGAATGGAAAAAGGCCTTTCCTCAGTTTGGCTCGGCGACAAGGAGTGAGTTCACCACTTTCTGGGCAGAGCAGGGAGCCCATGTGTGTGCTGCCAGCTGGCTCCCCCTGCCCACCCGCTGGGCTCAGCCCCAGCCCAGGGTGGAGGCAGGAGCAGCACCGGCACAAAAGCAGAGCTACGGAGGAGGGCAGCAGCCTGGGCGAGGGCTGGACGAGGTCCCCAGCGCGGCAGCTGCCTGTCCCTGCCCCACCGACACGCTGGCAGTCAAGGCACGTGGAGCGAATCCATAACCACCTCCACCCTGCTGCCACCCCCAGCCCCAACCGCTCGGCTTGCCGGTCTGCAGCCTCCCCCAGCCCCAGCCCCAGCTCCCAGCACGGGCCATGCCTCCGGCTCAGCTGCA